TTCCTTCCGAGGAGTGGCTGGTGGGTTTGAACCGCCAGCCTTCTGGTTAGCAGTCAAGTGCTTTAGCCACTATGCTACCAGAGCTCCTAGAGACAGGATTGGAGAGTAGAAATGCCCCATAGTGTTTCCAAGGCTGTAAATCTTCACTGAAGCTGACTGCCTCATCTTAATCCTGCAGAGCGGCTGGTAGGTTTGAACCTCCAGCCTTTTGGTTAGCAGCCGAATGTTTTAACCACTACACCACCAGACCTTCTTCAATAGACATGTTGTTGTTATTTTGCCATCGAGTGGGACCCAACTCCTTGGGTTTCTGAGGCAGTATCACTACCGAAGTAGATTGCCTCATCTTCCTTCTGAGGAGTGGCTGGTGGGTTTGAACCGCCAGCCTTCTGATTATCAGTCAAGTGCCTTAGGCACTACACTACCAGAGCTCCTTCAATACACAGAGGGAGACTATTTGCTGAGAGAACACGGAAATGAGAGAGGTTAGCAGACCCAGGACTAACCAATTTGGCTGACCACAAAAGCAGGGATATGAAGAGGCCGGATTTTGCTTCAGGCTCAATCTCACCACTACCACCATCTCTCCAATTCTTTCCCCTTTTTCTTATCCACTTAAGTCCTCACTCCTATCCTGTGCAGTAGGGTTCCCCTCTCCATTCTCAGGGCGTCAGCCATTCCGTCTATCTTAAGGCCAATCTTTCCACATTCAGAGTTTCGATCAGTGGAGTCGCCTCCCAGTCCCTCCTGCTCTGAACCCCGAGATGTACAGCCCAGCCTCGGTTCCCGCCCCACTCCCCGCCTCCAAGGAAGCCTGGGGTTCCGCCCGCCGAATTTCTCCCCCCGTCTTTCCCTACGTCTCCGCCCCCTGCCCCGCCCCCAGGCCGGCTCTCGGAGGAGGGGTAGGTGCTGTCGCCGCCACCGCCTCAGCTTCCCACAGTCGCTGCCGCTGCCGCCGCTCCGCCTAATCCGGCCGCCTGGCCTAGTGCTGCGACTTCGCCGGACCGGGGCGCTCTGCGGAGACACCCTCACTCCTTCCTGGGGGTCTGGGGTGTCAGTACGGGCACGGGGGGAAGCTCCGCTTGCGAGGGACCGGGAGGGAGGAGCCTGGAGCCGAAGGCAGCACCACCCGTCGCCGGATCAACAGGACAGGACAGGTTGAGGGGCGTCGGGGAAGGAAGAGGGGGTGCTATAGGCAGTCCTAGGGAGGATAAGGAAGCCTGGTCGCAGGAAGCTCAAACTGGTGCGCTTCGACTAGTAGGGGGCCTGTTCACCTTTGGGGACTAGTGACAACGTGGGTGCACTCCACTCCGGGGGGCTGACTGGATCGGAGGGCATTGGATCTAAACAACCAGCTGTCCCCAAGGAAATATAAGGGGCAACCAGGCAAAAAAAAAAAAAACCCTGACGCTCCTTATTTCTAGGTGACAGAGGGCCCCCCAGACAACCACCTGGTGTATCGGCTAGGAAGGGTGGATTTGGAGGTGACTTCAAAAGGAGTGGAGGGTGACAAGGTGAGGAGAGGGGGCTCAGCAGCTGGAACATTTGGCCACTAGAAATGGGGGTGACTTGGTGAAAAAAAGGTATTGTCCATCAAGAGGGCCTGGGGATCCCTTTTCACAG